AGAGGGTAGATGTAGGGTTAGAGGGTAGATGTAATATTCTAGCTAGCAACGGGTACCAAGTGTGACCAGAGGTCATGTGTTTGAGACAAACTGGGATCAGCTAGAATGTCAGTAACTGGTGGAACAGCTGAATGAGGAACCAATCATGAGCCTGTGGACTGAAACAGCAACATCAACTTCAATAACAACATCAGCTTATAACTGATTATATTCCTGATTGATTGATTGACAGCACTGCCTCCTACTGAGTGACTGATGAGTCTAGTCAAATTAGCATCTTTAGCATTTTTCCATAGATTGTGTTTTCCCAGACGTAAACTAAACAACGTGCTGGGGTTTGAAATGATCAGCTAAATTCTATCCTGGACCTGATTCTGATCTCTGAGCTCTCTGGTCTTGGATCAGAACATTCCTCTCTCCCAGGTTTTATCTGACTGTGTGGTGTTTTAGGACAGACTGTGGGCGAATGTCGCCAAGAGCCTGAACTGCATCATCGCTTTGGTGGACCGACTGCGGCGGCAAGAGGACTGCCTCCAGGAAGTGACATCACGAGAGGCGCCAGACAGGAACTCCCAGAACAGCAGTAATGTTTTCCTGTGTCTGATACAAACTACAGATATTTACTGTGATTCTTGGCGTCATGAGGGTTGGTTTACTCTCTTCTGCTAGTTCGCTTAGCTCACAGTGTTGCAGTTTTATAAATATCAAAACTAAATACCGAGCAAAACACAGTTACCCAGAAACACATGAGAAAATCTAAAGTGCAGACAGCGTAACGTTTCAGACAATAAAACAACAGAAGCTTCTATCATTGGTCTTTTAGACGCAGCTACAATTAGACGTAAAGCTGAGCACAAGTTTAAAGAATAAAACCACAGAATCCTCTCATTGTACAGAAATCGCCGCTGGGCTGTAGCTGATCACCGTGCAGGTCGTTACTGGTAACGAGTAGCACACCACTACCAACGCTGTAGTGAGGGTCAGTAATCGGTGGGGTTTCGCATCAAATATTAGTAAATATTCTAGTTTCAACGTCCTGATTGGTTCAAACCCGTCGTCTCTAAGTCCAGTTTGAATCCAGATGAAGTGAAGCCGTCCTATCTGCTCCTGCAGCCGCCGCCTCCTCGTCCTGGCAGGAGCAGCTGCTTCCTCTGGTTCTGACTCTCAGGGATTGCGTCCGTGAAGCCGTGACTCTGGCCCGAGCTGCCCTGACCTTCGTGGTGCTGCAGGGGGCGCTATCAGCGAGTGCCGCTCAGGGACCGCCGAGCCTCGTCCAGAGACGCCACGCCGTCTTCAGCCAGGCGGTGAGGAGCACCAGTACTCTGATTGATGTTCTGTGTGGGAAGTAATCAGATTACACTGGGTAGAAGACTGGGGGTGGCAGCCATTAATATCTATAATATGTAATCAGATTACTATTCTCAGCTCTCAGCAGTGACCCTCGGGTTCCTGTTGAGGCTCCATGAAGGTCTGAAGGATCCTCAGTTTCTGCTGCAGCTTCACTCTGTAGGAATCCTGGTCCAGCTGGAGGGACTGCTGAACCCCTATGGTACCAACACCACAACACACCAACACACACACACACACACACACACACACACACACAGTCGGTTCTTTCTGTATAAAACCAGCTAAATGTGAGCAGCTGGTAGCATCAGTATTATGGGATGTCTCATAGTGGTACCAGTTTAATGTGACATGGAGTCACAGAAACCATCACTGGTACCCTGGATGTGGTTCTGGTTCTGATCAGTCACCAGAAGAAACTTTACAACGTGCATTCTGGGTAAACGTTCCAGGCTCATACCAGAGTGTGTGATGGTGGTTGGTCAGAACCAGTTCTAGATGATGGAAGGACCGTTTTATCTCCAGAACCTACCAGAACCATCTACAGACAGGATCCACTCATATCGTTATGTTCTAACTCTTCATTAACTGGAAGAATTTGATACTTTTTCAACATAGTAAACAAGATCGATGGATGACAGAACTTAAAATAATCTTTAGAAACAGTCTAACTGGCTGTCATTCTCACATGGTGAGTTTACGTGGGGGGGCGGAGCTTATCCCCCCTGACTCAGGTTCACCTGGACAGGTAACCAGTCTATCACAGGGCTACACTTAGAGACAGACAACCAAGCACACTCACATTCACACCTACGGACAATTTACAATCACCAATTAACCTCAGCATGTTTCTGGACTGTGGGAGGAAGCCGGAGAACCCGGAGAGAACCCACGCTGCACGGGGAGAACATGGAGACTCCACGCAGGAAGATCCCGGGTGTCCTCACCGGGACGCCAACTGGCGACCTTCTAGCTGTGAGGCCACGGTGCTAACCACTGAGCCACCTGCAGCCCTTAATAAATATATCTGAAGTACAAAGTCCTGCAGCTCTGTGGAACCAGAACATGAAGAAGGAGAGAGAATCCAGAGATGTGTTCTGTCAGTAGAACCCAGAATAATGGACACCAGAAAGAAAAGAAAGAACCAAACCTGAATTCCTTCAATTATTTGTTTTGCAAAAATCAGAAAACCTGAAATCAGCCTTGGTTACATTCTCCATGTGTCCACAGATGTTGAACCCTGGAGCTCAGGTCGTCTCCTCATGCTGCAGATGTTTAGGATGAGGTGTTTCCCCATCTTCTAGCTCCTCTGTGTATGGAATGATGTGACTTTGATGAAACATCATAGTTCTGAGCTCAGGCTCAGGGAATTTTCCTGATGGAACCGAGGATTCTGCTGATTCTACAGTTTCTGGCTGACAAATGGTTTCATGAATTTTAAGGAACCATTCAAACCTTCCAGGCTCCAAAACGTTCAGGAGGAAAGAGGCGCTCTAGAACTTCTGCTTTGTTGTGTCTCCATTGTGACTGTGTCAGGTGACGAGCTGGGGATGCTGGAGGACACGGAGCAGAGTGTCAGCGACCTGAGCAGAGCAGCCTTCACCTTCACCCAGGCCCCGAGTCAGGCCCCGAGTCTGGCCCCGAGTCAGGCCCCGAGTCAGGGACCCGAGGGCCTGCTGCCCTCCGTCAGGGGAGCATGGTGGGAGCACACAACACAACACAACACAACACACACAGTGCACAGCTTTATTGTCCATTCTCCTCCAATCAGGGGCAGGTTTGTAGTTGAGGTTCCGTTGCCCCCGGAGACCTTCAGTTTGTTGCCACGGGAACTAAAAGATGGATGTTTGATACGAGTTGATGCGGTTCTGTTCAACATCGGAATCAACCAGCGCAGTCTGGCTGAGAGGTACACACACACACACACACACACACACACACACACACACACACACACACTAAACCTAAAGCAGCTTCAACACTCAGAGCTGTGAGGTGGTTCTGAAGGAGTGTTCGGCAGCAGAGTCTTCATCATCATCTTCATCATCGTCTTCGTCTTCATCTTCATCAGAGACTCTGCTGACTGAAGCTGCTCCACTGTGGTTCTGTTGCAGGTTTGGAGATGTTTCCGTCCAGGACAGACTGAACCGGCAGAGCTTTGAGCGACTCAGATCCTACTGTTCTGCCCTGACGGCCCGGCTGCCGGACCTCGGTAACGTTCTGTGTGACGTCTTTAACATTCATCCCCTGATCACTGTGATCCAGCAGAAACTGATGCAGCTCGTCTCCTCTCAGCCGGCGTCCGCTCGCTGCCGGACTTGTTGTCGTCTCTGGACCTGAGCCTGCAAGCCAAGAGGAGGAAGAAGGTGGAGGTTCTGTGGATCGCTGCGACGGTGAGGAACCGAACCCGTTTGTTCAATAGAGCTGTCACAGACAGAATCACTGGTCCTCCTGGACTTTGTTCTGTTTCCTCCTCCTCTCCACTCAGTGCTCAGACGGTAAATAAATACTTTGGACCTGGAACCAACCAGAACAAATGAACAACGTGAACCCTGAAAGTAAGAACGAAACCAGATCAATTAAAATAGTAACTAGGAACAAAAGCTGATCCACAAAAATAGAACGCTGTGAGTTGAAACCAGTAGAAGAAGTAAAGACCAATGCTGGAGCTCCACCTGCATCAGAGACTGGTCTGATACCAGAGCCAAAGTCCGAACCCAAACCCCAACCACAACTCTGACACGGACCTCTGAGAACGGAGCTGGAGGTCTGTCGACTCTGTTCAGCTTCACCACAGCAGGAGTTCTGCTGAACCGTTAGAAACACTGCTTCAGAGTTCTGTCTCCTCCTTCATGGTTCTGGTTCCTCAGAGCTACAGGACTTTTTGTTGCAGAGGAACATGAGCCAGAAGCAGGAAACAACCAGGACAGTGTCAGAGTTGGTTTGTTCACATGGACAGTGAAGCTCAGATCAGGAAGGCGACCCGCCGCTCTTCTCACCAGGTGTGTTTGTCGTGTGCAGGTGTGTCGACAGGTGAACGGTGTGCGACTGACCAGCTGTAAGAGTGCAAAGGATCCAACGGCCATGTCGGTGACGCTGGAACAGTGTTTGCTGCTGCGACGGCGACACCAGCTGAGCCGGCAGAGCTTCAGCACGGCGCTGGACAGCATGAGGAGGTCCGTGGACGAGCAGTCCTCCTCCGTCTCTTCACTCTTCTCCTGCTTCTGTCTTTGGCTCTCCTTCGTCGTCTTTGTCTCCTTCGTCCTCCATCCTTCATGTCCTCCATCCTTCTTGTCCTCAATCCTTCATGTCCTCCATTTTTTATCTCCTTCATGTTGTTCACCTCCTTTGTTTCTTCTCCTGCTTTGTCCCTCCTTTGGTTTCTATCATCTTTTCTGCTGCACAACATTTTCACTTCAATCTTTTTTCTTTTTCTTTTTTTTACATTTTTCCGTCTCCGACACAAACCCTCCTCCAGAACGCGGGTGTCCTGGGGGCAGATGCTGGGCTGTTACGCCCAGCCAGGGCTCACCGTCTCTGTGTTGGATGCAGAGCGGCGGCCCTCAGGTCTCTGGAGCTCGTGGCCCCTGCAGTGTTTGGCCCCCAAGGCTCCCAGATGGCACCTTTACCCAGTGGCCTTCCTCCTGGTGACCTCCCACCTCCTGGTTCTCTGGCTCATCCTCAGCCTGGTCATACTGCTGGCCAAATACCAGTAACCAGCACAGACTGGGAGCACTGGGAAACGTGACATTACTGTCCTTACTGGCTGAGCTGGTGATTCATCTGTCCAGTATTTTCTCCATTTGTTCTCAGAAAATGTTGAAAAATGTGACTCCGAGTTTTTCAAACGTCCTGTTTAGTCCAAACATCTTCAGTTTCGTGTCACAGAGGAAAGAAACCAGAAAACATTCCCGCTGAAGACGCAGAGTGTAGACTGATTTATTAAAAAGTGACTCGTCACTTATCTGAACATCTGATGGTGAATTATTAGTTGACAACTAGTTGATGAATTTGTTCATCTGTGTTCACTGTGGGCCTCTGCTGCCCCCCAGTGGTCAGGTCATATAGGTGCAACTCATCTGTTCATGCAGATGTTCTTGTCCTGTGTACAGATGTGTGCACGGCGCTGTGAGCTCTGAAGCACATTCTGTAATACACGGAGAAGAAAGAAGAAAGCATCTTATCTCCAGTCTGATGCTCAGTGCTTCTCATGTGTGTCTTGGTCGTGTGCCGGGAACAGAGCAGGTTCTGGTTTTGCTGTCAATGTCGGTGGACCCGGGCCTCCCGGCTACTTGTGTGTTTGTGTTTGTCGTTGCTGAATGTTGCACAGAAGGCTGCAGGCTGGACAACATGCAGCAGAAGGTGGCCAACAGGAAGTTCTCCCTCAGCAGCGTCCGGCTCCTCGCCTTCCCCAAATCCAAGGACCTCCAGACAACAACAGTGTTGTTTTCACATGTGAACCTGCTGTTTGGCTGCAGGTGTTTCAGCTCCTAACAGGTGTCTGCAATAAATCTACACTGTACTGAATAATTTCTGTCAAATCAGACCCGCTGGACAACCAGATCAGTTCTACATCCATCCAGGTGTCTCAGCCTGAACACTGGACCAGGTTCTGTCCATGTCCTCTGCCAGCAGCTGGTAGCATCAGTATTATGGGATGGATCATAGTGGTACCAGTTTAATGTCTATGACATAGATTCATAGAAACAATCACTGGTACCCTGGATGTGGTTCTGGTTCTGATCAGTCACCAGAGGAAACTTTACAAAGTGCATTCTGGGTAAACGTTCCAGGCTCATATCAGCATGTGTGATGGTGGTGGGTCAGAACCAGTTCGAGACAATGGGCGGACCGTTTGACCTCCAGAACCTACCAGAACCATCTGAAGACAGGATCCACTCTGTGGATAAATTCTTTTTGAATATAGACGTATTTTATCTTATCATTAAGGTAAAACATTGCATGACTTCATTAAATAAATTAACTATTAAAGCCCTCTGAGAGCTCAGAGCTCCTCCAGCAGCTCATCTCCACCAGGCTGGGATCTCCAGCTGATGTTAAAGTCCTGATTCATTTATCTACACTGTTAGATTCATGGAGGATCAGAACATAGCTTTAGCATTGAGTTAGCGTTGATATCATTAATAACCGGCTGACGGAGTGATGGACGCTCGTTCTGGACTCTCAGATATTTTGTACACTGACGTTGTTTCTGCAGTTCCTGACTGGCTTTAAGCTGTTAGCTAACGCTATGCTAGGTTGGCATAACTACAGCGATGCTATTGCTAACATAAACAGACAGGGAGTAGCTTAAGCTAGGTTAGCACAACTTTAGCAAGGTAAATGAAAAGCATGACCGACCAATGCAGCACGCGTCAGTCGTCCTGACTCATGGCAGAGAGTCAAAGTGGACCAGGAGACATGCTGAGTCATTGTTAATGTGAACCAGGAGACATGCTGAGTCATTGTTAACGTCACTACGTGGTTCTGAACGTATCTGTCAGGAGCTCCGCTCAGCCCACTCCTGTGGTGCTGCCTGGCTGTAGCTTCCTCTGTACTACTGAGAACACAGCGGTGAGGACTGAAGGACTGAATGCAGTCAGAGCTCCATCTAGTGGACAAACGGCGCAACGACAGCATTCTGTGACAGTTAACAGCATTCAGTGTTTTATGAGGAAATAACCAGACGGTAAACCAGAACATCACCAGAATGTAGTCATCTGGTCATTGTGCCGTTATCAACATTTCCTGAAAATGTCGTGAAACTCCGTTCAGAACTTTTCCAGTTATGTTGCTAACAAACAGCAGCTACAACACGACCTCCTTGGAGGAGGTAAAAACCAGCTGATCCTGAAGGGTCAACGGGGAACTTTTTTCAGACTTAGTTGATTTTATATGGACCGATCCGACTTTGGGTTCTTTTATGAACCAACAGTCAACAAGTCAGTAGCATCACAGGATTAGTTTAACATGAAGTCAGCCAGTTAGCCTGACAGGAGGATTCTACATGTTCACCGTTTTTGTTCGTGTGTATGATGACAGTGAATATAATTTAAAAATAATCTAAGCTACAGTATTGGAAATGACTGATGGGGGCTTCCGTCAGGTATTACAGAAAAACTGTTCGTTATGTTTTGTTGAAGGCGAGCTGGAGAACCTGAACATGGATGTTCTTATTAAGACACTGAGGCTGGTTTGGTCAAGTGTTCCATCATTACAAACACTTCCGTTGGTTTCCTCTCACCAGTATAAAGGATAATAAGAAACCCATCACTGGGAAGAGTGGTAAGAACTGGGGCGGTTTGTTCCGTATTTAAACTACCCTGTATAGTTGGAGGTCAAGAATGAGACAGTGAGCGGATTCGTGTATTTTGTATGTTTTTAACTCAAACAGAACCTGATGAGGCTTTTATTATGGAAGCAGGCAGCGGATGTGGCGGCCTCCTGTGCGGCACCTTGACGGCCGGAGGCCCGTTGACAACACCGCAGCAGAGCTCAGCCTGCTGCCGCCGCTGCTGCCTTCACCTCCGAATACTCAACCCGCCACCGCCCGCCGTCCTCGCGAGCCGTGGACCCACCGCCCGCTGCTTCACCTCGGCGGGAGAAGTCGAGTCGTTCCTGCGGCTCGTTCGGTGCCCGGCGGTGTCCTGGTCCTTCTTCTCCGCGGTGTTTATGTTTGTCGGCGGCTGGAAATGGAGGCGGCTAGCGGGCTGCTAGGCGGCTGAGAGCGGCCGGACGGAGCGAACGGGACCCGGAGCTCAGCCACAACACTAACCGGTTCAAACAGCTCCCGGCCGGCCGGCGAGCATGGCGGAGTAGCGGCCCTCGGCTCCTCCGACCAACCTCACCATGGCCCCGGGCTCGCTGGTGGCGGCCTGCCGCAGCCTGGCCCTCTCGACGTGGCTGCTGTCCTTCTGCTTCGTCCACCTGCTGTGCCTGGACTTCACGGTGGCCGAGCGGGAGGAGTGGTACACGGCCTTCGTCAACATCACCTACGTGGACCCGGCCACGTCGGAGCTGCGCACCGAGAAGACGGAGTGCGGCCGCTACGGGGAGCACTCCCCGAAGCGGGACGCCAAGGGGGTGCTGGTGCTGCCCGCGGCCCCGCTGGACCGCCAGGCCTGCGACCCCAGTACCCGGTTCCTGGTGCCCGCCCAGGCCGCGGCCTGGATCGCGCTGATCGCTCCGGGAAACTGCACCTACAAGGACAAGATCCGGCACGCCGCGGCCCTCAACGCCTCGGCGGTGGTCATCTTCAACGTGGGCTCCGCCAACGCCAACGACACCATCACGATGCCGCATCCAGGTACGACCGGCCCCGGTGTTAACCGGAGAACCGGAGTTAGAGCTCCGGTGTTTACCGGAGAACCGGAGTTAGAGCCCCGGTGTTTACCGGAGAACCGAGATGTTGGACGGTTTATTAGGTTTCATTAGAAGTAACAGAATGTTAGAATGATCCGAACTATCAGATTAAAATCCTGGAGCCCCTGATTCTGGAGTCTGTGGTTCTGGGGTTCTGGAGTCTTGGGTCTG